TGTGGCCTTCCTCGTTTTCGTTTGTAACTATTTGGTCTCCAGTGTATAATCATCTTATTCTACCTGTCGTCTATTTTCTTATTATCTATCTATCTATCTATCTATCTAATTAGCCTTCTTTGGTCCATCTTTGAACATAGGCCTCACCAATCCTTTTCCATTCTTCTCTGTCTGTCGCTACAGTCATCCATCTAGAGCCCACGTGCTTCTTGATATCATCTGCCCATCTCATTTGGGGCCTTCCTCTGCTTCGTTTATATTCCCACGGTCGTCCAATTATAAGATTTTGTTCATCGGTTCTTTTGTCTTATATTGTGTCGCAAATCTCCATTTCAATTTTGCAACTTCTTGTCTAACATCCCTCACTTTTGTTTTCATCTCTTATCCACTCGTTTCTTTTCTTATCCATTAGTCTTATGTGCAACATTTGGCTTTCCATTGCTCTTTGGGTTTTTATGATTTCGCTCATGTTTGCTTTTGTAGATGTCCACGTTTGGGAACCATAAGTAAGAACAAGGAGTACGACATTGATTATCTTATTCTTCTTATCTATCTGCGTTAATACATCGGTCACTTTTGCTTTGTTGCGGATCCAAGTATTTCTTTTCTTGTCTGATAGCCTGATGTTCAGCATTTGCTTTTCCATGGCTCTTTGGGTCTTTGCTATTTTTTTCAAGATTTCCTTTGTAAACGTCAAAGTTTGAGTACCGTAGGTGGGACCGGAAGTATATATTGGTTGAAGACTCTTGTTTTTAAAAATTGATGATATTTTCTATTTTCTAGTATATAGGAAAGTTTTCGAAAGATACCCAAGGCAACCGTATCCTATATTATATATAGTATATTAAAAAAGTAATTACTTTAAAATGCAACAAGAACGTAGCTTTCACAACAATATTAAGAAATTGTTATAGGTCCAGCGTTATTCAAAATTTTTGGACCATAGTTCTTGTTTATTTTGTTTGTCATAAACGGTTTTATTATCTTGATCCACTATTTTTGTATATGTTAGGTATCTACTGTTTTCTGTGATCTTCTTATTTTTTTTTGGATATTAAATAGATTATATTTTCCCTCCATTGTCTATGCTTCTTTGGCATTTCTAATTATTTTTAGGTCGTAAACAAGTGTCTCAGTTTCTTTATAGTTTGGTATTTCTGCATTTTTAAATTTTCATCGTTGTTCCATTACATCTTCTTCATCATCGTCAACCATTTTTCATTCATTCCTGAATGTAGATCTTCCCCAATTGCTTCCATCTTTCTCTATCATGCACCAATCTAATTCACTGTTTGCCTGCCACTGCTCTTATATCATCTACATATCTCTTTTGATGTCTCCATGCTTCTTGTCATCCTCGTTGGTCTCCAATCCGTATCCACTTGTTATCTATTGTTTCGTTCCATTTCCCTTTATGTTATTTTTAGTTTTTTATTACATTTTTTGAAAGGGCTCCATCCCATAATTACAGACTGGGAGTATGCATGTGTTATACAGCTTTTTTTAAGTTTTTAGGAATGGATGGTTTTTTTAACACTATTAGACCTAATATTTTTTAGAACACCTATGATTTATGTTGTTTTTTCTAATGTTGTTTGGTATATGTAGTTTTATCTTCATGTGAATAAAAAATTGCACTTTTATGCTAACTCCAAGTATACGCTGTGCTTGCTTCAATTATTGTAGGTTCGGTCTTTGTATTTTTTGGGTTTACCAAATTTTTTATTAAGGTTGTCGAAAATTATTTTTAGAAGAACTTTAAATTATGCTACTACGGGATTAGAATCTGACTTCACGTCTGTGTCATGGTTTAGTTTTTACACTATAAATGCTTTTTCTGTATTTTTTGTATGCTATGATCTAATAAATCAAGTTTTTTCTTGGATGAGCTTATGTATATTGTGGACATATCTATGTACAAAGAAGTTCTAGGGGTAGTTTAAACCATGTGTTAGATAATTTGATCCTCTTGACAGCATTCCTTGGCAACGTAATCGCAAACAGTGTCATCTTCCCTTGGCCACTTTGCGTCGAAGTCATCGTAGGATAGTCAGCAAGTGTACAAAGTGAGAACTGGAATGGTATTATAGACTAAGCTGTAGGAATTTTTAAGTAACGTTGAACCAGCATAAATCATATATAAAACACACTACAATATGTGATAATAACTTTGAAACTATGCTGTAGAATTCTTATTCGGTACAGGTGATTACACGGGTAAGATAACTTACTACTTAGGGGAAGGATCTTTTTGGCGAAAGATATTTGTACGGCATTTATAACTTGGCTTCTTTTCTTCTTTTGGTTCTTATTAAATAGATTAGTTGTTGTGGACAATCATTTCTCAGTTTTTTAAACATGATATTCTTCTTCTTCCAATTTCTCGCTTTCTGAATACTTTGTCCTTCAAGATTATTATTAGTAATCTGTAATTAGATCCGTTTCTCACTATAGATATTCTAGATATTCCAACTTTTTCTTGTAATTGTATACATCACTTCTCTTTATTTCTCCATTCTTCGTAGTACAGTCTCGTTGGCTAACTTTTTTGTCCACGATATACATCAGGATTCTTTTGTATAGCCACATCTCGAAGGCTTGAAGATTTTTTCTTCATCGGTTCAGTGAGTATCCAGGATTTACGTCTGTAATATCAAGAAAATATAACATCGTAGTCGCCTTACTTTTATCTCCAAATTAAGTTGTGGCTTTTAAAGAGTTTGGCCATGTTGTTAAATGCAAAATCCGTATCCTGCAGTGATTTCCGAACCATCAGCTTAATGAGTTATATTTTAAAATTAATGCTAAAAATCATACATCAAAGGATATATAGACTGTGCGAAGAAAAAATCAGCCGTACACAGTTTGGATTTCGGAATTCAGTGAGTACGAGAGAGGCTCTCTTTAGTATACAAGTGTTATCTCAACGATGTAGAGACGTGAACTGCGACATTTATGCGTACTTCATTGACTACCATAAAGCGTTCGATACAGTAAAGCACGACAAGCTGATGGAGATATTAACCAATATTGGAATAAACACTTGTGATTTAAGAATTATCAGCAATCTGTACTGGAATCAAACATCATCTATCCGGACAGAGGCAGGAGAATCCGACGATATCAAAATCAAACGTGGCGTCCGTCAGGGATGTATACTATCACACTGTGTTTAACATATACTCTGAGGAAATCTTTCAAGAAGCAGTGGGTGATGTTGAAGCCGAAATTCGAATCAACGGAGAATTTATCAATAACATTAGATACGCGGACGACACGGTAGTATTCGCTGACAGTTCTGAAACCCTCCAGGAGTTAATGAACAGAGTCACAGAGGTCAGTCAGAGATACGGACTTTCACTAAACACTAAGAAAACCATTGAGGACAATTCCATAGAAATCAAATGTAGAATAGAGAAAGCAAGATATGCATTTTAAAAAATGGCTAAGTTATTCAAATGTCATGATTTATCAATGCCCATAAAAATCAGGTTACTACGATGTTACATCTTTTCCTATACTGTTGTACGGAGTTGAGTCATGGACTCTCACAGACGCCACCTGCAAGAAAATTGAGGCATTTGAAATATGGTTTTATCGTCGCATCCTGAAGATATCGTATACCGACCACGTTACTAATGAGGGTGTTCTGTTGAGAATGAAAAAAGAAAAAGAGCTGTTAACCTACAATAAAAACAGCCAAAATCGAATACCTCGGTCACATCATGAGGAACAGCGAAAGATATGGACTGCTGCAACTAATCTTGCAGGGAAAAGTATAAGGAAAACGGGGACCAGAAAGGCGAATGATTTCCTGGCTGAAAAATCTACGAACGTGGTTCAACACAACAACCACAAACTTTTTAGAGCAGCAGTGTGCAAAGTGCAGATTGCGTGATGGTCGACTCTGAATGGATGCACTACAAGAAGAAGAAGTTAAATGCACTCCTAGCCTTCTTTATTCTATATTTTACTTCTTGTGAGTGATCGGAATCGGTCCACTGGTGTATTCTTGATAATAAGTGTGACGTCTCTAATTTTATCTTGGCTGATGACCATACAAAATAATACAAAAATAATACAAAATGATACAAAAAAAATAATAACCTACGATCTAATGCTGTACAAAAATTATAATACCAGAAGCTGGGAAATTTTTTTTTTCGGCAATTTGACGCAGTACGGCATTCATGCACAGAGTTTCGGTTTGGTACATAGATTCATTTTTTTGCAACGTCATACATATCGCCCAAAACAGGCGTGTGAAATCTCTTAAGTGGTAAGTTTATCATACCGTTTTACGGCATAGTCCGAAAGTTGTTATTACACGATGCCTTTTGGTGCCTTGGCAGACACATTTTATAGGTTTGTTACAGCTGGATTCTTATTTTTAGAGTTTTTATAGACCTGACACCATGTATTATTATGTTTACTGTAAAAATATACATAAAGATACATATAAGCTTTTATATTTTATTTGAGATCCTCTACAACATGTAATTTTTTATAACCTAGTCAACCTGTTGATTGACTGATGACATCGCTGCCTTCACTGCTAGTGCTGCCAACCTAACCTATATCATACACATAGTATTAGTTTATATGTGATTCATATTGGGTCAAATGATCCCTTAAAAATTTCTCATGTGCTTGTAGTCTATTAGGTTGAACAGCTTGGATTGATTTATTCAAATTTTGCATGGCTCTTAGCTTAGTACAAAGTATTTTGCTTAGATAAGTTTAATTTGTTTCGAATGTAATTCATATACATTTATTTACTATTTTATTTTAATATTGTCCATTATTTCTATAAAATAGTCCAATTATTTCATGTCCACGTATATTAAGCTTCGTGTATTAGTAGACACCGCTAGCTAAATGACTCAAACACGGGGAAAGCAAATCATGCGATATTATTGGTCAAGTCAAAGTTGTAAATTTTTTGATTGGTTCGAAAGAACTCATAGTGCAGAACGCGGATTCCGTATAAGAGTACCACCGCGGCTTTCACTGCACGTTGTGGTGAAATAGTCCTCGCACCGAGTGAACTAAGAAGTCGAAAGTGGTTTAGTGCATTACGTGCTTGGATTTATTATAACCTTTCTTCAACTGTCGATAATTGGTAAGTCTAAAAATATATTAAAACTTAATAGTTAGTACTTTGTTTCAAATAATATAAATATTTTAATAAATTTGGGTAAATATTTTCTTCTGTATTGTACCTTATTATATTCTTTAAATATAGACGAGGCTGCTAGTCGGACATTTGTAACATTTCGAATGAACTAATTATTATATGGTGATTGCAACTACTTTCATTCTATTACCTTAGATTAAAAAAAATAACTTGCAGCCACGAATAAAACACCTTAGATTTTGATCCAGATCATCTTCATCACAGTTATTTTATCATCTCTAGTTATTGCTAATACCTATCACTAGCGATTAATACATCAATAGAGTTTGATTATAAAATAACTTTATTGCTTTTTTCTTGCCATCATCTGTATACCGATGTACACAGTTTTGATAATACAAGATTGAGTCTGGGTGGGCTGGAATCACTAAAAGGGCTGTTAGAAGACTTTTTTATTACTAGAGCTTTCAAATATCATTACATTCCTTTTCAATAGCTACAAGAAGAAGTACGCGAGAAAGTGTAAATAAAAATAATGTAGAAAACAACATTTTTTTAACTTTCCATTTATTTACAATCTGTAAAACTATTACAATAAGTAAATTGTGTAATTATTTTAAAATTAAGGGCCAAGAAGTTGTCCCATGATAATTTCCCATTATTATCTTAAAATTTTATGTAAATTTAAGATCTACAGCAAAATTAAAAATAACTCAGTTTAGAAATTTTCTTGAAAGATCACTGGGAGCATGACGCTTTAGTTTTCGATTTGGTAGTTGCCTCATAAAGACATGAAAAATACGTACTTGGCGGAGGAAGGCGATTGATAGGGAAGACTCAAGAGAAATTGTTGAGGACGCTAGGACCCTCGCTATGAGGTGCATACCATGGTGCATTTGTAATAAAGCGTAGGATTAAAACCTTTCCAAGATACTTACATTATAACTGGACGCTGATTACCACAGTTAGATCCGATAAATCGATACTGGTTTTATGACAAATGTATACAGTAATACCTTATTACGTAGAGAAAATGTGATCTTTTATCTAGTAACTAGTAAAGTCTGCTAAGCTTAAGGCCCAGTTGTTTTCTTTTTATAAATATATTCTTCTTCCATGTTAGCCGCCTGTCGAGATCCATACCCAGGTAATTGACATTATATTTTTGTCGTAACCATTGGTTATTTAAAGACACTGGTAAGCATGTGATTTTTCTATTAGAGAATATTTATATTGATTGACTTGCTCTTGTTTACCTTTATTCTTCATTGTCTCAGCCAAATTTTTATTGTGTTAAGATTAGCCTGTAATAGCTAAGAGGCAAAGTTGGAGTTTGGGTGTAAAGCTAAAATTGCTTTGTCGTTTGCGTACGTTACTGTGATAATATCGTCGCTTGTAGGTAGATTAGCTGTAAATATCAGGTAGAGAACAGGTCCAAAAACACTACCCTGTGGAACCTCTGCTTTGATTGGATATAGACTTGTGTATTAATCGTAATGTCTAACTGAAAATTATCGGTTTTAAAGCCAGGATTTGAGGATATGATAATAATTTAATTGAAAGACTTCTCTTAGTTTGTACAGTAGACCAGTGTACCAAACTCTATCAAAAACTTGGCAAATATCCAATAATGCTGTTAAACAGTATTTCCTTTGTTCTAGAGCATCATAAATAAAATTACAGACTGTATGTATTTGCTCAGTAGTAGCATATTGTCGTCTGAATCCAAACTGGAGATAAGGTATTAGTTTGTGTCCTGTAAGAATTGGTTGTAACCTATTCAATAGTAGTTTTTTTAAAAACCTTTGACATCATCCATAGTAGTCAGCTATATGATTTAATGTCTGTGTCAAGTACATAATTCCTTTTTTGTAGAATTTTTGAGGATTTTAACAGTAATCAGACCGTACCAGGGAGACTTTTTAGGGTTCAAATCTGATTGTAACTTCTGGTGACCTTGTTTGGTAGGGAATTGTTTTAAGGGTAGTTCAAGTTGATACAGAGGTTATAAAAACTTTTGGGTCTTGTTTTTTGTGTTAGGGTTGTTGTCTGGAGGGTTTGGCTGAAGCACATCCACCAGATAATCAGCAAACGCTTCGGTTTATTCTTTGTTTTAGCCTTAGCTCCTAGCCCATACTCCATTATATATTTGAATAGAAGGTTTGGTTAATTAAGGTAGACTTAATTTACGTCTTGCTTTTTGAAATGTGTACTTGGATTGTTTACTAGTACAGTGGGTATTACGGTGATTTCGTTACTGATATTTTTTCAGGTCATACTGAATACTATTATCCTTCTCTCCTATGTTTTACTTAATCGTCGTTTTTTGCATTTTTTTTTTTTTAGGCAGGTGTTGTTGTTTAGTTTCCAACGGTCTGGCTGGTGTTGACTTGGGGCAGTTTGTCCTTGTATTATTTTAGTAAATTGTCAGTTGTAAATAAACAGCTTCGTTTACATCGCCGTATTTAAGAACAATCAAAGTTACACATTATTGTCACATTCTGATGCAAAATTTGATGTATTCTTCAACTTGATAAAACATATCTTTTTAGTTCTTTATTCAGGAATAGTTGCATTCAAAAATTTCATATTTTATTCATCACAAATAAGGTAAATAGTCCATGATATGACGGTTTTCTGCTCAGAATTCTGTTTAAAGTTATCGATTTTCTTAAAATTTTGACAGTATATAGAAAAAAGCACAAAGATCAAAATCTACTCTATGCTAATGTGTTTTTTTGGGGTAATTGCCACCCCTTGGGGGTGGAAACAGTTTATTAAAATAAATCATGGTAGTCGCCATAAAATATTGAATTTTAAGAAGAAAGATATTCCGTAGAGAGTTTTTCGAAAAGTGAATATTTTTGAAGTTATTCTTGACTGAAAGTTCATAAATTACATGAAAAAAAGCATGTCTTTTGGTTTTTTGCTAATTCACTCCAAAAATTTAGTTTTTTATTGGGAAAACTTGATATAGAATAAAGCTTACACAACAAAGAGATTTGTTAATAGAATAATGTCTTAGAGTTATCTACTTTCATAGTCTTTTTTCATCAAATACAAAAATCCAAACATATGATCTCATATATTTGGAAAACGATGATATTTTTAGAGAAAACTTATAAAGACTTTTTAGAGACCTTAAAAAACCTTGACCACTGCTAAAGGTAATTTGCATAAAAAATAAGATAAATTATACCTAAATAAAGTCCTCTTGTATGTTTTGTGACGAAAAAAGAAACAAACTCAATCTCGTCAAAACCACACTGGTTGAAACTTGGTTTTAAAAGCTTCATTTTCTGTCCAACTAGTTTTCCCGATAAAATCTAAATCTTTTGAGTTATTCGCAAAAAAAAAACGTTAAAAACGTGCTTTTTTAACGTGTAATTTAAGCAATTCCATTCACGAATAATTCCAAAAATTATTATGACTTTTCAAAAAAAACTCTAAATATTTTGTCGTAATTCGCTATTCTAGCGACTCTTCTTCTTACGGTGCCTATCCGTTGCGGATGTTGGCGATCAGGATACTTTACTTGCATTATCAGCCTAACTTTACTTGCAGCTATTCGGACCAGTCTAGTTATAGTTGTAGACGTAGTGAACCACTTCCTTAGGTTTTGAAGCCAAGCTTCTCTCTGGTAATATCTTTCCAAATACCTTGCCCTAAAGAATGAGTTGTAATAAGCCATATATGTCTTCATTTCTCATAACAAGGCCAAGATATTCTAGTTTGCGCTCTATGATTTTGTTAGTAATCTCCGCATTCCTTGCGCATTTTACGTAGGATCTCAATATTAGTCACACGCTCCACCCATGAAATTCGTAAGATGCGCCTCTAACACCTCATCTCGAAGGCCTCGAACTTTCCTAAAGAGCTTCAGAAAGCATCCATGATTGTACTCTGTATAATAATGTAGAAAATACATAGCATCCAATGATAGAAATTTTGTTCCTATGTAAGTGGTAAATCGTAACTCCTAAAAAGAGACTTGACCTTTATGAACGCTGATCTAGCTTTCCCTAAGCGTTGTTTTATTTCAGTAGAGTAGTCCCATTAACTGTTTATGTTAGTACCAAGATATATGCAGCTGGTTACCCTGTCAATATGCTGTTGGTTTACCAACATGATGTGTATTTAATATTTCTCGCTTACTAAACACCCTGTACTTTGTTTTGTTCGTATTGAAATATGTTTGTCCATATTCTCGACTTATATCTGATATGTGCGACATTACTCCTTCTAAACCATCTAGGATATCTACAAAAACCACTGCGTCGTCAGCATATCTAATGTTGTTTAGACGCACGCGATTAACTAAGATGCTTTCCTGTAGTTGTCCCAGTGCTTGCTCGATGATTCGCTCCAAATACATGTTAAATAGCACTGAAGACATAATGCATCATTGTCTCACTTCTCTATCTATGGAGATTGTCTCTGTCAACTGGCCATCACCTTTAATGTTGGTTTGGTTGTAATAGCGACTACCGTGATTTTCTGATACACTTCTACCCTGAGTTAGTGCAGTACCCACTTCAGAGAAAAACACATATATTGCCATAAGGTAGATTTTGACTTTTGAGCTATTTTTTAACTACCTACTGTCAAAATATCAAGCAAATCTATGTATATAAACAAAATTCAGAGGTTTTTACTATGCTTATCGTGATATCCTGGACTATTATTCTGGGTTCACATTATAAACATGCGGATGGATATGACAAATATATTCATTTATGATTATTTTTAGTGCCTCATTTTGGTGCATAAATTTTAAAATGTATTAATAACCTCTAAATACAATCTTTTGTAAAAAATATTTCTGAAACTGGTTTTGTTTTTTAGTCAATTAAGATAAAGGCAAAAACCCGAAATATTGACGTTAGAGTGAATCATGACCTGGGTATATCACCGAAAATTAACATACATTTTTGAAGGTCTTCCATCCTTCTACCTCTTTTTTGTACCGTGTTTAATAAAATATTGGTCTGTTTGTAGTTGTCCTTGTTTGTTACAGGTGAACGAACTGCAACCTGTATATCATCATTTATTTACAGGACCTGTTTATTTATCACAATTTTTCCCTTTTTTGATTGCTATCTTCTACGGATATTAAAAATTATGTCAACTTAATATAAACAGCTGGTCGGTACATTGGTCCATCTTCCACCTAAACCAATCTGAGCAAATTTATAAAAACGATTTAGACATAACAATCTGAAATTTTAAAATATATATTTCTACAGCTACATAGTTGTTACATTCATAACTAAAATATAGAGAATAAATAACTTGTACTCTCAGTATAAGAAAAAAAAATCAGATTAATATAATGATATTGGCGGCTTTAATATGATTCGTTGGAGCTTGTTTATTTCGTTTTGATACCATTTAGAGATCGTTGACTTCACACCAAATAATTTAAAATAATCGTTTATGACTGAAGATGGGATTAATAATTAGCATTAAATTTAAATTATGGTTTATTATTCTTAAAGGTAAACGAATTATTTACGAAATAAATTTAAATGACATATTCTGGTAAATCTTGTGTAAATTGTCACAAATCGTTGTCTTTAAGTGGATATTTTTCAAAGTTTTATTATTCTAAAACGTGTTTAGAATAGCTTGAAAACACTCTTTTAGTTTAAGTTATAATAATTTAACCCAAAAATAGCTATACGGTTATACACAAGGGTTATTAGACCCATGATAACCTATGGTTTGGTGACGTGGTGGACAAAGACGCAGCAAGTAGGAGCAATAAGGCTACTAGATAATACACAAAGGTTAGCATGCCTGTGTATTACGGGAGCCATAAAAACAACTCCTACTGCATCGTTGGAAGTCCTGCTGAATCTATCACCACTTCATATCTTTATACAGGGCGAAGCCAGATCAGTGATGCACAGATTAATCCATAGTCAGCGACATATAAGCCAGATGCATGGTACTGACAACAGAAAGCTAATCGAGGAGCTAAAAGCCGATATTGTGATGGGGAAACCTATCGATGCAACAGATAGAGATATAGCTTTAACAATAAGTTCACAATTAAGATAATTAAGATAATTATTAAGTAATTTTTATATTAACAACAAAAAAAAACAATGAATTTTACTGCAGAGTATGTGTAAATTTTTTTTGCATTCAACTCCTTTTATACATTTATGAAAATAAAAATATATATTTTCATTAAAATATCGATACAATCCTTCATTTACTATACTCCTATTACAGGTCAAATGTTTATATATAGCAAACGATGCACCATATACCTATATAACTAATTCTTTTTTTCTTTCTGCTCTCTCTTACCTATAGCATTAAATATCTCATAGACTCTCATATAAATTTTTAACAGTGAACGCGTGTATAGAAGTATAACTTCACACCCGTTTTTTTTTTCTGACTATTTATATTTATTCCTATCGTGTAGATAAACGGGAAAACAGGGATGCCTGTTTATAATACAAGAATTTTTGTTGAAAGTAAACTAATTAGTTAAGAACCTGTCTGCAGATGGAATTTTTTCAAAGTTGTTTTGTTCTTAAACGTGTTTAAAATAGCACAATTCTTAAATACTTTTCATTTTTAATCATAATGTTTTCTATCAATTTTTGAACATCAACTGCTAGTTCTTGCTTTACTTCTTGTTAGATCTGAAACTTTCTTATAATCGAACACCGCACAATAGCTTCCAAGTTCTATAACAGTACCATGTTCGGCTATAATTATAATTTCTTTGTGCTGATCTGGATTTACAATATTTTCACGACTTCTAATTTTTTCTGTATTTCCAAAAACTCTGTGGGATGGTATAAATAAATGTCCTATTTCAGGAAATACAAGCTTAATTGTTTTAATACTTTGAGATGCATTTGGGAGAACCCGGAATGAACATAAGACAATAACCGTTAGTACTAAATATTAGTATTCATTCATACAGGATTATACAAGGAGGACACTTTTCACGCCCAGGGATTCATCAGAGCGACTTTATTGTAACAAACAAGACATAAACCACGGTTAGGTAGGTGGGCAACATATATGGTAAACATACAAAGGAAATGTTCAAGCATACGATCAATTTTACACTCATACCTTTAATTTGATTTTTACAAGAAATATCATAATTATTTTAAAGATTGTTATATTTTCTCACTTAATAGAAGATTTACGTTTAATGGTGTATTTAATCCCTCTTTTATCAATTCTTTTATCAGCCACGTGCTTGTATTACGATGTATGGCATTAAATACTATTAATCAGCTATACTAGTTTCACACTCACATCGGTCTGTTGGGAGAACTCCTATTTTGTGTAGATGTTTCGAAAAACATCCATGATCGACTTTTAAGCTTAAGACAGTTGACACTGTGTATTCTGCTTAGTGTAACATCTTTGTAAAATTGTTTTACATCTACTGTGGGTTGTAATTTGTATAAATTAGTGCCCTGCTTTCACCAAACTGAATCCATTGTCTGTCCCATTTAAATTTAATATGTTGTTTGAATATAGGCAAGTAGGTCACATGTGTTAAATTCTTCTATCACCATATGTGGGTGCTGTAATGGATTTTTAGCTATAGAATCAGCAATAGTATTGCCAACAATATCTGAGTGTCCCTTAACCCATAGAAATTTAGTACCATATGGATCTGATAGTTTTAGTAACTGTTGAAAAATTTCTAATATGAATATATTGCTAATGATTGTGAATTTAAAGTTTTGTTGAGAGGAAGTGTGTAATGTAAAACAATGATCTTGTATCCTTAAAAATTTGTAGATAATACTCGATGATACAAAGCAGATGCATTTCATTCGAGCCCTTTTTATGTTCATCTTCCGTCCATGTATAATAAAACCTGTTGTTTTTTGTCAAGTTTGTCTTTCCAAGCATCCGACAGTGGCTGTAAAATTGTAAAGATAGAGTTTTCAACTATAATCACAAATTTTATCCGAATTTTCGGAAGAGGTCAATGTTGTTTGCAATCAAAATAAAATATTATTGGATCTTTTTATTTTTCTTTCAACAAATCCAAAAATGCTTTCGCCCTAGGTTTGTTAACTTGCTTTTTGGTCATGAGTGTAGACTTTGTAGCAATATCTTTTTTACATTTATAAACTTAGTTAAATACAAGTAGAGCAAGTATCTGTGAAAGGATGACCAAATCCTAGATTCAATTTGGTGCTGAAAATCTTCAAACAAAATGTACGTCTGCCTTTTTCGTCGTCTTGCGCCTGATTATTGTACATTCTAAAGAGTCTGTTTATGTTTAATTCAATACTTATGTACTGTCAGGAAGACGAATTTCTACAGTAATGTGAAGTCAGTACAGTAATGAATGTCACATTTAAATGTTTGAGTGGATTATACACCCTAACACAACTAATATTGTTATATTCCTAAGTACTTTAGGTACTTACGGACAGTGATTGGAAACGTACATTATTTTTTAATTAAGTAAATCAGTTATTCAATTACGTAGCTGTTGTTCTATTATTTTTAATTTAGTGCTCACGATTCTTTCTTAGTTTGTTCAACCATACAATTTGTTCGGTAATAACAAAAGCGAGATTATGCAAGATGGAGCATTTTTATTAGTGATTCCATAAATCTACAATTTTGAAAGTTTTGCTAACTAGAGCATTAGATACATATTTATACTAGATTAACGTTTTTTATATTCCGATAATTAATGAAAGTTAGTGCTAAACTAAAACAATCAAATTTTGTACTAAATGTGTACAATGCAGAACACTACTCTTTTAGGTATAGTTATTGGTATGATGACAAATTTCGTCACGTGAAAACACGTGAAAAAAATTCTTTTAGCCTATAGTTTTTATTGCTATCTATAATTTCACCATGCCATAGATTCACTATTTAATAGTTTCGTTTATAAATTTCTATACTTTAAAGACTCTTTAAATTTCAAGTTTGTTTGTGCCTTTTCCATCCAATGTTTTCCCCTTTGTTCGTTAAGTATGCATTAGGTGCACTTAGGTACCTATTAGGTACTTCAAATTAAAAAAAAATAATTTTCGATGATGAGAACCAGAGATATTTAGCTTTTAAACCTTTTATCTCTAGTGCATTTTGAACGGCTCCTTTCTAAAGAAATAGTTTTGAAATTTTGTTTTACTTTGGTCTTTCGAAAGATGAATTTTAAATTTCCTAACGTTTGTAAACAAAGCACTTATGAATTTAAGAAAAAAAAATGGCTAGGTCGAGTTCTGATGGTTGTAGGACATTATACTATGTCTAAAATTCTTGTAAATTTATCAAAAGTAGTTGTTAGATACCTGTACCAAGGAGTCTCTTGGGAAAAACGCTACTTCCGTGGTTTATCAATAAAAGCGGACCAAATATACCATACAATATGACCTTGCTTTTGATAGTTATAAAAACGAACAGATCCTATTTCTTACTAAATTTAGCAAACAACAGAAAACACGTGTTCATCTTTATTTAGTATTTATGGAACTAATTTAAAGGTAATAAAATACTATTGGTAATCATTATAAAACGCTTCATTCTTAGATTTCAATATATTTCCTGAACTTTAACAAATATTAATTGTACAAATATCATTAGTTTTTATTGATAATTATGTGGCAGACCTTGATGCGTAGAAAATTATATTGATGGTAATTCTTTAAATATTGTTCAATAAATATAGTCATCACTGTATAATAATGGTCTGGAAGTGACGCACCTATTCTTTTATTTGCTTTAACCGTAAGGTTAAGTTTTAAGTTTTGGGAAATTCTACACCTGTATATAGTTTATTTAGTTTTATGAACATTCAAACAGATAATATTCTTTTTTCTCTTGAATTTGAGTGATCATGGTTATTTCTCTTGCAATTTTTACAGTCCCATGCTTTTTCTCTCCAATCTCTCACTCCTATTTCTGACAACCAGTTCTTGCTTTACTATTCCCAACCAATTCTTCTTCTTACTTCATCTTTTTCCCTATTTCTTCTTTCTTTAGTCTTCATATTGACATTCATATAATCAGCCATCTAGCTCTTTGGGCTCACATGTTTGAGGTAGTTATTGGTTTTCTATATATCCTTATTATTTATTTATTTGTTTTCTTCTCTCAACATTCCCTGCTATCTGTCTTTGTCTAAAGATTTTTTTGAATAGCTTTCTTTGCCAGATCTGTACTGACTTTTCTTCCTGCGGGTTTATAATCCACGTTTCGCTGGCATACATCACAGTTGGTCTTATTATTGTGTCATAGACTCTTCTTTTTCTTCTTAGCCTTCTGTCGTCCATGTTTGGACATAGGCCTCTCCCAACTCATTCCACCAAGATATAACAAACAAGTCCTCTAGTATATTCCGATACAAGTTATTGTTTACCTAATCAACATCAGAAACACAATATTGAGATACAAGTTCTTCCCAGACCGATCAAAGGAAGACCATGTAATAATGATGCACAAACTAGAATAGCATGTTTACGTAGAACTACAGACCGGTAACCTTAATTACAATACAGAAATCAGCAAAATATTAAAAAGAACCATTTAAAACAGATTCCAATCCAAAACACATAGATTAGAAATATTCCTTGAAGCACACTTCAGCTTTAGAGCATAACACTCCAGCGAAGAACAAGTTTGTAACAAAGGAATTCAATGACAAACAATTCACAGAATCTGCCTATCTGGATGTAAGCAAAAACCTTTGACAAAGTTAAGCATAAAGAATTGACATGCAGAATGAAGGAACATGCATATAGGGGCCATTAAGAAACTCATCACCTCACACTTGGCAACCGGAAGTTCAGGATTCGGGTAGGACAAGTCCTATCTGCATCAAATGGGAGAAAAACAACAAATTAATTTCAATATAAGGTTGAATGTTCGAATAATTAAACTTTGATAGTATACAAGGCAACTATCGAACACAGTGATTAATTAAATCTTGCCCAAGTACTTTCGATCAATAGATCATCTTCAGGGGCATCTGAAATACGCCAAGAAGCTTTTTTTATAAGAAGGAAAATTAATTCACTTGGATAAAAAACTCCAAGTTTATGGTTGAAAAAAGTTTTTATGTGATAAACGTTTATAGACTTACTTCGTCAGTTGTGACCTATCCGACATGAGTAGAATTTCATAAATGTAAATTTGGATATAACAATACAATACACAAAGACAAACAAACACTTTAAAATTTTTAAAAAGAAGAAGCTACATGTTATGTAGAAGCCGGAGACAGAATGGGCTCCCGGTCATGCGGAAATATTGAGATGACATGTGACAAATTACAGCTTGTAAAGGGCAGTTATGTGATCTGCACCTTTCAAAATTCTATGAAACTAAGTATTTACCAAAAGTCCAACTGACACCACTATAGGAAATCAACTGATGAAATATAAAATTAGTATATATTTCTGTAGATTGAATAATCCAAATCTCACACTCAAACCTGTCTTTAATAGTTAGGATGTTAGTTTGAGAGCGATTGAAGTTGACATAAAGTATGAATGTAAGAAAAGACTAAACAATAATATATTAGACAGTGGATGGTTGACTACAAGAAAATGGTCCACCAAGCGCTATCAGTACTGTAAAAAAGGAAAAATCTGAATATGCAGTTAAATTACTAAAAGTTAAAATCAAAATTGAAAGCAAAATATATAAATGTGTTATAATCCAAGTAGTTCAGTTGGCTGTGCATTCAAGTTGTGGATCCTTGCCAGTTGAGCAAGGAATTGTAAATTATGAATTTTGTCATATATAAATATAAAAATGATACTCTTATTTAGGAACCATTCTTAGACCTGGGGAAGCATTTTTGTCTGCAGTACCGTCAAGTGCTGGTCCAACCGCATTGTTCCTTCCATAATGTAGAGTGTACTAGTTCCTTGACTGCTTATGATAGAACATTTCATAATTCTCAGGCAGTGTTTTACTGTTTTTACAATACAATCCGCTATAAATTTTTCCCCAGATCTTCTACTAGCAAATTTAGTTCTATCCATGAGGATCTGTACGGTAAATTCGTCCGAAAAACAAACCTGGAATATTATTATTATTTTAGAATCGTGGACAAATTGATCAAATGTAAACTACATTCAAGAAAAATAATGTTAGATAATGTTATTTATCTGATCCCAATTATCAATGGTCCAATCTTTACGATCTTTAGCCCATTAAAACTTTTTTCGCCATGGATTGTGACAGGTGGGATGAAAACCGCAGATCCTTCATTCACCTATAAGCTGTTATTAGTGAAATATTGATGGCAGATTCCTGAATCATTTTCGTTAAACTCATTTAAGGTTGTTTTCTGTTTGTCAAGACTCTATCTCGAGTTTTTCTTTTATCTCGTGGTGATTTATTTTTTTTTTTTTTCGACAACCTTTTTGTTTGCGTCGTGGGGTCAAATCCAAATTTTCGTCAAATTTTTCTTAAAGTGATTGGTGTTCAATAACAAAGTTTGTATTTCCGTCATTTTTCTTGGTAGGATGTCTTTGGCTTTTCCCATGATGTTCTGGTACCATTGGTGTAACGAACATCCAGTGTTTATTCAACAAAATAGTATAAGACTAAATATCACTAGAGACAAATGAAAACTATTTATTACAACTCTACACACCAAGAATACAAAATAATATGCACACGAGTTGCAAGATAGGCTAAACAGCACTGACAAACAATGAACAATGGCACCTGAGTCATGTATTGCCACGCCCGCTGTGTTCTCCCTATTTCCAGACTATTTACAGTACTTTCATGAAGGGTTTAAAGATAATTAAATGAAAACAAACGCATTAATATATTATAAAGTTCAATTATAGACCCATTTGTAAAAAAATTGAATTTTACTAGGTGGATCTAATAATTTGATCACCCACTGTATAGTCAAGTATAGTACCACAATAAACTTAAATTAATACTAAGCCACTATTTCACATTAATAACAAAACGTATGTGTAAAAGTGTTGTAGTGTTGTTATTCGCGCAAATAATGCATAAAATACAATTCAAACAAATTGATCAAGTTTTGATCTAAACACCAACGAAGATAAAAAAATGTAAGTATCCGGTAAATTTTCCACCCCAGTGTATTTGTACAATTATGCACTTTTCCATACTTAAATAACTTTGTTCAGAAGATTGACTCTAAATCGTGAACAAATACGAACAAAGACTTGTCTTATATAAAAACACGCTATTTATGTAAACAAACGCCGAGAAATGCATTAGCTTCGCTTGGTTTTAAACATCAAAATGATTACATCCAGTTATTTTCTTAAAACTCAGTATTTTTGTTGTTTATTTTAAATGTTGTCATAATTTTTTACATCTTAAATCGCCATTAGTTCTTTGTAATCATAGTAGTTCTGCAGAAATTATGAAAAAATATGACCACGGTCTACTTAGTCGGCTCGATGTGGGTCAACGAAAGTCTTCTGTTTCTAAACTGATAATGTTATATAACGGACTAACAACATCGTAATCCGGTGCTAGCACGCTCGACCAAACGGTGTCGAAATAACATTCGTACTAAGAAAATAATACCGAAATTTTGGTATGAGTATAATGTAACTGGTATATTAGCAAAAATATTGTTAATGATATGGTTACTAATCGAAAATTTGTGACATACTTTGCGAATCAGGATAAAATTTATATTTAATGGTTTTAATTGAGTATTCCTTGATTAACTGTTTATAAAGGAAAAATCAATATTTCATGAATAAATAGATATAATTTATTAATTAACTAAATCAATAAGAAAAAGTTTTACCAATCTTTCAATAGAATATAGAAGACTAAGTCAAATATCAAATTAAACTTGGCAAGTAATTTCTAGAAATTTAAGAGTTCTTCTTCCTCTTCTTCTTCTTCATTATCTTCTTCTTCCTCTTCTTTTTCTTTTTTATAAGCAATTCTGCTTAGTCATTGGTGGATTAATACCTCTATGGAAGGTTTTCACTGCACTGTTTTTGCGCGGACGTCCGATACTTCTTCTACCAATTGGTGACTTATCTCTTGCTATTTTGACTACACGGGTCTCCCCCATTCTGCTTATGTGATTATTTTATTATTTTTTATTATTTTGTGTCCATTGTTTCTTTAAGCAGTATTCGTTTTAACTATTGGTAGGTTGATAACCCTTCCAATCACCCTCCACATTTTATCCGGGCATGGGACCGGCTGTGGTAACCGCAGAGCTACTAAAACCACCCCGCAATTACCCCAGAGATTTTTATTTATCTTATAAAGAAACAGTTACGCCTGCATTGTTTGTTGTTAATTATTTATAGAGTAATTAACAACATGCAATGCAGGCGTAACTTGTAAAAGTCTGTACTTTGAATGTAAAGGTACAAAGGGATGTACCTTAGAATGCTCAGTTTAATGAACTTGCTTAATATTTGATATATGGTTTGTCGTTCTGCTTCATGATCGCAGTAGAGATTTCCCATAGATGAAGATTGGCTCCGCATCTTCCATGGACACTGTTTTGAGTTGTCCATATTTTGTAAGGTGGTTTGAGGTATGGCAGAGTTTTGAGATGTCAAGGAGAGCGCAGTGCTCGGAGCTTGACAACCAGCCAGAATCACTGTAGTTTCTGTCTTAGAGGTGTTAAGCGGGTTTTACTAATATATTATGTCCTTATAAATCAGCAAGTCTAAATTATTACTGATATTTATGTGAAGATTTGCCTGTATGTGGATTGAAACTCAAAGCGATGGATGTGGTATATTTTATGTGGTGTCTATGGTGGTGTCTATGTATCTATTTAATATTTCTTTTATTACGTTTTCATACTATGTTACACTAATTTTCTTCCATTTCTTTTTATTTGAGTTTTTTACTGTTGTTTTCTAGTTTTATTTTCTCTGTATTTATTTAAATATCCAATATATCAGAATATAGGGTAAGATTGGTGACCAGTTAGTGGCGCAGAAGATAACGGCATTATATTAGTATGTTAACAAATGTTATGCTGTTTTATTCTTTATCTTTTCT